CCCACCGTGGAGGCCTACGAGGGCAAATCTCCACCCCTGTCCCTCCGTCCGGAGGCACCAGGCCGGCTAGGCCGCGCTCGGGTGACCGAGAACCTGTTGGTGGGTTCCACAGCTCGGTCTGCCTCCTGGGGCTTGGGGGCAGGACTCGGTTAGGTAATTTTGACTTCCCTCTGTTCCCGCAAAGATTTTCAATTTCTTCAAGCAACCCTGCTTCTGCTCAATATCCTTCTGAAAATCTAAATTTGGAACCTACACGGAATCGATTGCATTTCCTCCGATGACAGAGCTGCCCCGGGCTTAGTGGAGAGTGACACGCGCCCTTCCGTCTCACTGCACAGGGGCGTGATGAGGGAGGGGGTGCCCAGCCAGAGCCCGGTGCTTGCATGGGGGGGAAGGGGGAGGCAAGTGAAACATCACACCCGTCCTCCCTCTTCACCCTGACTCCTCGGGAGGGCGCTGGGCTGGAGACAAGTACCGTGATATTCATGAAATCTTGGCTCTGCCCTTCTCCGCCTATGTCATCGCGGCCAAGTCGCACAGTATCTCTGTTTCTCACCCTTTGCTCAGCTCTAAAATGGGAGAAGCAAATAATTTCCTCACAAGGTGACAAGAAAGTCCCAAGTCAAGTACAGAGCTCCAGGAGAATTCTAACAAGAAATCTGTCCATCCCTTGGTCCATTTTTCCTAATGCTGGTACCAAGCCGCCATTTCTTAAGATACTTTAAACACAGCATTATTGTCTTTCATGCAAGTCTTTTAGATTTTCCAAGTCTCCACAATAAACACGAATTAATCTTCTCCTACAAAAAAAAAAAAGGATATAAACCCATATTCATATTATAAAATCACACATGGAAAAGAAAACGTACCGAAAGGCGTTGCTGTCTATTCTAGACAACTGCTTGACTTCCAGGTCCTTCTGAAGGATCTGGAGCCCTTCGAGCAGGCGGGGGAAGGACCAGAGCAGCCTCAAGATGGCCCAGGCAAGACGGCGGCAGGGAGATGCGAGAGGCAAGATGGTTTCCTCACGCTCAGTCTCCCCCGCCATGTCTTTCCAGCCCCTTTCCCCTCACCACATCCACGCAGCCCACTCCAGCCACGACAGCGTCCAGACTATTTCCTCTGTGTCTACCGTTTACCTCCTATGTATACCTACCGCCCAATTAATCAGCCCATAAACCTTAGGTGCCCGCATCCCGTACAAGGTGCTGCAGGAGATACTTGAAGGATATAAGTGATACTAAGAAGTCCAAAATATGGTTCAAGCCCTGAAAAAGCCTACCATCCAGTTCTGGACTCAAAAGATAAACCCACGTAGGCACAAGAAGTTAAGCCAGGGTTACCAAGCAGTGCTGACAAGGAAGCCTCAAGCAACTCGGAGCAGAAGAGCTCAGACGTGTGGCCTGGCATGACCCCACTCCCACCACCAGGGCAAGGACCTTGAGACAAACTTTCAAGGATGGAGGACTATAGAAAGGGAGCAGGGACGGCACGCCCAGACAACTTCTCGAAGGCTGGGGCCGAAATGTGGAGGCCACGATCCTAAGGCAAATGTGGGGCATCCCAGCAAGCAGGGTCAGTCTGGCCGGAAGAGGCGGAAGGTAACGGGCAAGGGTGGGAGCGTGGGACACGCTGGTTGGGGCGGTGGCGGCCTCCAGGCTTGCCCCTGATTCCCGAGGAAACAGAAAGCCACCGGAAGCTGGGTCCTCGGGAAGCGGTGCTTCCCAATCTGGTAGCTGGAGCCACGTGTGCTGGGTGGAAGGCGGGCAAGAGACCAAGGGCAGGGACCTGGGCAGAGGGTACAGCCGCAACATCAGGGGGCAGCAGTGGGGCCCTCGCGGAAAGAAATGGGAACACAGGTGCAAGACAGAGCCTGGAGGGGAGCAAACGAGCTCCTCTCTCTCTCTGTGAGCTTCCCCTCCATACCAGCATCTCGGCCTTCTCTTTAAAGTGTCCTTCTCGGGGCGCCTGGGTGGCTCAGCCGGTTGAGCGCCCGACTTCGCTCAGGTCACGATGTCGCAGTTCACGGGTTCAAGCCCCGCATGGAGCTCTGTGCTGGCAGCTCGGAGCCTAGACCCTGCTTCGGATTCTGTGTCTCCCTCTCTCTCTGCCCCTCACCCATTCATGCTCTGTCTCTCTCTCCCTCTCAAAAATAAATAAACATTAAAAAATAAATAAATAAAGTGTCCTTCTCAGCCTGTAGGAAGGATAACAACCTGTAACCGTTTTTTGCAAAAGGCAGGACTCAGGACTTGGACACTTGGCTTCTGAGGGAGCCTGGGTCACCCTGGACGCCCAGCCCAGCGGGCCCCCTCTCGGGACGCGAAACAAACCTGTCCCAAGAGTGAGTAACCCCTAGGGGTAGCGGTGCTCACGTCGAGCGGGCGGATGGCCCCTGAGTCCTCCTGCTCGAACTTCATAGGAGTTCACGGGAAAGTCTGAGAAAGCTCAGCAACCTTGAAAATGCCAGCTCCCACCTCATACCCAAAGGGCTGGACCCAAGTGGCCTTGTTCCTATGCTATGCCCGGTGCCAGGCTCCCAGAGGCCCCCATTAATTCCTGAGGAATAAAGGGCTTGCACCCCTAAGCCCCGGGGAATTGCTAACAAGACAGAAGAGCACAGGGGCCAAGAAGCCAGACTCCCAGCCCATCTGAAGCAGGCTCCTGGCTTCTCAGAAGTTCCTCCCCCCTCCCCCACCCAGCTGGACCCAAGGGCCTCAGGAGAATGGATTTTCCTCTTTGCTTGCTCAGTGTAGGGAGTAGGCCACGGTCCAGGCCACAGTTGTATGAGACAAGTCTGGGGCCCCCAACGCTCTACTGAATCAGAGGCTCTGGGGGTGAGGCCTAGAAACCTATGTCTTTTTTTTTTTTCTTTTTTAATGTTTATTTACTTTGAGAGAGACGGACAGGGAGAGAGAGAGAGAGCAGGAGAGGGGCACAGAGACACACAGAGAGAGAGAGACAGAGAGAGAGACAGAATTCCACGTAGGCTCTGCACCATCAGCTCAGAGCCTGATGCGGGGCTCGATCCCATGAACCGCGAGGTCATGACCTGGGCCGAAATCAAAAGTCTGACGCTCAGCCGACTGAGCTGCCCAGGCGCCCTTGAAACCCGTGTCTTAATGGGCCCTCCATCTGACTCTGACACATGCCAAAAACTGAGGCAGGCTGATGTGGCAGCTAAGAACCTCAATTCTGGAACAGACCGTCCAAGTTCACCCCCTGACTGTGACCAAGCTCCTTAGCGGGCAGTATCAGCTACTACCTCCTAGGATTGCTATAAAGGCTTAATGAGTCCCTGCATGTCTGTGCACTTAGTAAGTACCATTTCGAATTTTATTATTCCTCTCTGAGGCATCTGGGGGTGTAGCTATACCATATTTTGTTTCCTAACTGAAACCAATACTAAAATAATTTGTGTCCCTAAGTGCAGGCTGACGGCGAGACCCAGGCTTTCTCGCACTCTCTCTTTTGGGTCCTCCGGGTGGGTCTATAGCAGGTATCCGTGCAGAATCGTAAGGAGCACACCCTACGCTCCTACTTTGTCCGGAAACGAACTGGGGACTGCAGCTCCCCAGGGCAGATACAAGTTCAAAGCATCCCCTGGATACTTGTTACAGGACATTAAGAAGACCACAGGGTTACGACAAAGGGCGCGCAGAGACCTGACCACAGCCCACCTAGAAGGACCCAGCAGGGATCTCCCCGGGGTGCAGGGAGAGAACTATCTGATACCCTCCTTCTTTGCAATGACTTGTCGTTCTAGAACTCTTATGAGAACATGAGCTAGAAGCTCCGGAAGGGGGGTGGCAGCCTTGGGTCTGCCTTGGATACCAGCCCTGTGGACCCTGGAGAGCTGCTTGCACTCCGGGTAGGTAATACTCTGACCTCGGGGACAGCAAGTGTCCAGTGACCCATCAGTCCCGGGACCGGGTGTGACCAGGGCACATTAAGTCGTCCCCTGCTCGCCGAGCGCTGAAGAGAACATTTTAGATGGGGCAGATTCTGACAACTGTCATTAACTGCTACGCTCTGAAACGCTGCCTCCCCGACCCACCAGCGAACTGTAACATTCGCCCTCGGGCAGCTCTGGGCGAGAAACGGGGTGTGTTTTTAACAGCAGCCTCCACCAAGGCAGCAGGAAGGGAGGAGTCCTCCGTATTCGCTGTGCACCCCGCCTCTCGCAGAGATGACATATTCATCCAACTTACTACCGAAGCGCATTAGCTCCAGACCTGAGGCCTTGACTTTGCAGACATTTAAGCCCGCCAACGTCCCTCCCTGTCTGACCCCACCAAACGCTAAAAGCTGCAAGAGCGATTTTCTCCAAGTCGGCCTGCGCCTCCGGTCCCAGTTGGCCGCGCGACTAGTTTCTGCACTCGGGCTGGAGTCGCCAGGTAATGATTCCCGCACGCGGGGACCCGGAGCCAGCTGTACTGACATGTTTCCACAATAAAAGCAAACTTACAGCTGGGGCACAGTAGAAGCAGGTAATTCTTTCCAGCAGCCCCGGCCTCCCGGCCAAGACAGGGCAGGAAGGGGTGAGAGGGAGCCTGCGGGAGCCAGGAGGCGCCGGCTCTCCCCCACCGCGCGAAGGGCCCCAGGGGTTTACCGGTGCCCGGCCCGCCCGCGCAGAGCCCCCGTAGGCGCCAGCGCACCTCCTTACCATTCAGTTGCCGGTAGACGATGTCCTCGAGCAGCGAGAGGCGCTTCAAGACCGCATCCTGGATGGGGCTGGCGCTGTGCGCGCTAAGGTTGGCCGCCTCGGCGCGCGGCCGGATCTCGTGGAAGGCGTCTCCGCTGCGCACCGCGATGGGCCGGCACTTGGCCAGGAAGAGCACGAAGCCGGCCACCGCGATCAAGTTCAACACCAGCAGCACTTTGACTCTTCTCAGTGAAGCCATCAAACACGCCCGGCCGGCCCGCGCCCCGGACCCGCGCCCCCTCGGGCTCCCGCGAGGCGCGGAGCTGCCGGGGAGCCGTGCGAGCCTCACACTCCCGACTGCCGGCGGGGAGCCCCGCGGCTCCCGGCCCCACAGCGCGGATGCTCGGGCAGCGGGGACGGTTGGGAGGACCGGGCGGTCAGGGGGAGAGCGAAATCGCTCCCATGGAAGCCCTCGGTGTGCAGAAGTGCTCCCGGAGACGCCTGCTCAGTTCACGGCTCGCGGCCCCTTCCGGGCGCCTCGGCTTCTCGGCGAAGGGCCGGGGGCCGTGGGTCTCTCCGCGGCACCAGCAAGTGGCTCGCGGCTGTTCCTCGGGACGCCGGGAGCGAAGCCCGGGAGTGGCGCGCAGGTGCCGGGCTCAGGGTTTGCCGCCCGCCCGCGGGGGAGCGCGCCGCGCCTCGGGCCACACGGCCACCACCCTCGTCCGCAGGCGGCCGTCGCGGCGCGCGGCCCGCGGTCTTCAGCCCAGGACCCGCTCCCCGGGGCGGGCGCCTTTGTTCCGCTCAGCGACCCGCTCCATCACGCCGGGCAGAGGGAAAGCCCGCGCCCGGAGCCCGCATCCTCGCGGCTCCGCAGTCACGCTCAAGTCTCAATTACTCTCAAAGTGGGGGCAGCACTAGGGGGCGGACCAAGGGGCAGAGCGCGACGTCCTCTCCGCCCCTCGCGCCGGGGATACCCCACCCCGCCACCAAACTCACCAGCGCGCACAGCGCCGCGGGCGCCCGGACGCGTTCCAAGCCCCAACCTCACGCAGTGAGCCTTCGGGGCCTGCCGGTCACACTGGCCTCGCTCCGAGCTGGCGCGTCGCGAGGCCGGCCGGAAGGAGGAGTAGGACCTCAAAAGTCACAGCAGTTCTCTACCCCCGCCGAAAACGTCGCGGGGAGCGCGGCGGCAGGGACGCGCGCCGGCGCCCCCTCCGCTCGCCAGAACGGGCAGCTCAGCTCGTCCCGCGCGCCACGGAGCCAAACGCCGAGTGTCCTAATTGGCGGACGCAGTGATACGGCCGCTGCGGCACCGACAGCCCACGCGGCCCTGGCCCGGGGGTTGGAGAGCCCGGAGGGGACGCGCAGGTGGCGGCGGAGGGCGGGGCGCGGCCCGAGGGGACCGGCTGCAACGCCAGCTCCTCCTCCGCCGCCCTGGCCACCCCTCTCCCCGCGAGCCTGTCGGCCGCCGCCACCCGCAGGCTGCCAGGCGCACAGCTCCCCGGCTCGCCCGCTCGTGCGCGCGCACCCGGAAAGGGTGGGGGCGCCCGGCGAGTAGGGACTGCGCGGGATGGGGGCAGTCAAGTCATGTTGGCTGCTGGCGGCGTCGGAGGGACCCTCTGGTTCTCAGCACTCCCCGAGCAGGCGGGTTTGTTCCATCCTGGGAGGCGATGAAGACATCCCTTTCTGTGTGCTCGCAGCTCCGCTTTGCGTGGCCGGGAATGGCTGGAGGGAAAATCTGGCCTGGAGACTCGGATTCTGTTACTTTGGGAGCCAGGCCGCGCGTTAGCGGGCTGGGTGGGTTCTCTCCGAGTGAAAATTCTAGTCGTCTGAGTCACGGTTTCTGTGCCCACCCTCATTTTATCCTAAGAAGCCCATCTGGGCTACTGGATTTCCAGGATCTCTTCCTCTTCCCCAAGCCAGGAGCTGGAAAGGCTGGAATTCAAAGACCCTTCTTGATCCACTTAATTCCTTGGGCCTAAAAAAAGAAAGGAGGCTGCCGAACAAATAAGGCTGGGCAGTAGAGGGCCATGAATCTGGTGGTTTCCACCTCACCATTTCTATCGCACTGAAGTTATTTCTTTTTTACTACTGGGTCTTTGGTGTGCGGGCTTGCTTTGTTGCTTATTTATTATTTTAGATATCAATTTTTAACAGAAGCGTGCCTGAAAAATATAACAAATTTTTACATTTTCATTCCCTTGGAACTCTGTGCCCGAGTTCAATTGGATCTTGTTGGTTTTGCTTTATATCACCTACAGAAAGTGAACACAAAGCAGTTCGATGAAAAAGCCACGTCCAGAAGCCCCAAGGGACCCACCAGCGTTGGGCATGAAAGGAACAGAGAGGGTAGAAACCTGAGTTACTGAGCAGCTGTGTGACATGACAGGCACCGGGGTAGGCAGGGTCCCCACTGCACCTGTCCCTGAGTACCCAGAGGGAAGCTGGCACAATCAGTGGAAGCTTCTGCAAAGCTAATTTTCCAACATTTACTCAGCTGCAAGACGGAAGCTAGGGAGGCCAAGGCACTGGGCTAGGGTCCTGCGGAGGTAAGTGGCTCTAAACCCAGGTGGGTCAGCCTCCCAAGCAGGTGCCTGTTTGGGAGTAGGAGACAGGAAGCAAAGTAGCAGCAGAACCCCCTTCGGAGCAATGGAGACGTTTCCAGGCAAGATTCAACTTCAGAGAGACTTATTTTCTCCCTCTGAAGCCGGAGAGATCCCTGGCGCAAATTAACCAATGATCTTATCATGCAGCAGACAGGCTTCTCTCCTCACCTTCCGCGTGCATACATTCGTCAATGACATCCAACACCCTAGACTCGGTGAGAGATCCGCTGTCAGGCTCACATCCTAAGCACTGTCTTCCCAGAGAAGTGCTCCGTTCCTGCAATCCTGCTCGGAAATTTCCCACTCACGATCCCAAACGAATATTCTCTCCAGACACCAGCAACCCTTCTCTCCCTTCCAAGTATCTAAGCGCTGCCATCCCCTCCTGAGTTCCTTCTCTACCCTTCCTGGTTGTTCTTTCATTCTGGTTACTTGTATACTTCAAACACATTCCCAGTGGTGGCCACAGTTCACACATCCTCATATATACGTATTCTCCCACTGCCCCCAGCCCAGCAATACCTGACCTCTGAATCAGGCTCACCATCTCCTTTCTCGCACCCATGCACCCAAGCAAGAGAGCGTGTTTAGGGAAAACGACGTTACCCAAAGCTGGGAGACGTTACCAGTTGGTAGGTATCTAACTTGAACTGGACCTGTAGTTCTTTTTTTTTTTTCAACGTTTATTTATTTATTTTTTGGGGGGGGGTACAGAGAGAGACAGAGCATGAACGGGGGAGGGGCAGAGAGGGAGACACAGAATCGGAAACAGGCTCCAGGCTCTGAGCCATCAGCCCAGAGCCTGACGCGGGGCTCGAACTCACGGACCGCGAGATCGTGACCTGGCTGAAGTCGGACGCTTAACCGACTGCACCACCCAGGCGCCCCGGATCCTTAGTTCTTTTAAAATTTTTTGTTTATTTATCAGTATGGAGAGACAGAAAGAGGCAGAACACGAGCAGGGAGGGGCAGAGAGAGGCGGAGACACAGAATCGGAAGCAGACTCCAGGCTCTGAGCTGTCAGCACAGAGCCTGACGCGGGGCTCAACCTCACAAACCGCGAGATCATGACCCGAGCCGAAGTCTTAACTGACTGAGCCACCCAGATGCTCCTGGATCCTTAATTCTTTATTCCATGAACCTAACCAGCTTCTCCACCCAAGAGGTGCCCAGGAAAGACTTCAGAAAGTCCATAAACACAAACCAATACAAAAATTTGTGCGTGGGGGGGTGGGGGGGTTGCCCGTGTGGCTCAGTCGGTTAAGTGTCAGACTCTTGATTTCCGCTCAGGTTATGATCTTACGGTTCGTGAGTTCAAGCCCTGCAACAGGCTCTGTGCTGACAGTGCAGAGCCTGCTTGGGATTCTCTCCCTCTCTGCCCCTCCCCCACTCACATATTTTCTCTCTCTCTCTCAAAATAAATAAACTTAAAAAAAATTGTGCATGTGTGTCATATGGATGTTTTTCTGGGGACAAGAGCCCTAACTTCTATCAGATTCTCAACGTGGTCAGTGACACCAAAAAGTCAAAATCCTGCCTGGATATGCAAAAACCGTAATCAGTTCCATATTTATTGTATGCCAGCTGCTTACGAAATCAGATGGCACCAAGGCACTCCAAGTTGGTGGAACTCTTTAGTGGCTTGCATATCTTGATAGAAGAAAGGACACTCTGCGGGGCACCTGGATGGCTCAGTTGGTTGGGCGTCCGACTTCAGCTCAGGTCATGATCTCACGGCTCGTGAGTTCGAGCCCCACGTTGGGCTCTGTGCCGACAGCTCAGAGCCCAGAGCCTGCTTCAGATTCTGTGTCTCCCTCTCTCTCTCTGCCCCTCCCCTGCTCATGCTCTGTCTCTCTCTGTCTCAGAAATAAATAAAAAAAAAAAAAATCAAAAAAAATTGTTTAAAAGAAAGGACACTCTGGACAAAGTCCAGCAGCTTGTACAAATGATGGAACTGAATTGAAGAGGGTCTTCCTGTTGAGTAAATTCTCAGGCCCGGAAGGAACCCACCTGGCCATTTAAACCACAGATACAAAGACTGAAGGACCCATTTACGGAGACATCCATTGCCCGGTAACCAGAGGCTCCCAGAGGGGTGGGCGACCTCCCTCCCTCAATCAGCGACAGCCATCTGTCTACCCGCCACTTGCCCCAATCAGGCTTGTAAGACCAACAAAACTACACCTCCGAGGCCAGGTGGCTGGCTCACCAGGAGATCCTGGCTCTATTCCACTTGTTACCAAGAAGCAAATCGGTTCTTGACTTTAAAATAAGAAACTCCTCTGGGGCGTCTGGGTGGCTCAGTCGGTTAAGCATCCAACTTCCGCTCAGGCCATGATCTCACGGTCCGTGAGTTCGAGCCCCGCGTCGGGCTCTGTGCTGACCCGCCGAGCCTGGAGCCTGCTTCGGATTCTGTGTCTCCTTCTCTCTCTGCCCCTCCCTCGCTTTGTGTCCCTAACTCTCAAAACAATAAACATTGAAATTTAAAAAGAATAAATAAGAAATCCCTCTTGGATGGCTCCAAAAATCTTTCCTAATCATAAAACTCAGTGAAACCACAAACATTTTTTGATAGTTTACCAAACGTTTCATTGGTATTTTTGTCTTTGTGTAGCACACCGAAAGGAAGGAGATGAATGCATTTCTGTCCATG